TCAAAATAGTGTTACTAAATATACGCTAAAGTACCAAGTCAAATTTCATCATAAAAGTTGAATGGTCTTCGGCGACTACTATACATGACTAATTGGATACTATGCTAGTCACTGGAGTTATCACGCCATTGCATTTTCATTGGGTTCGTCGTCACAGTGATACCACAAAAAGAGTGATAATTCATGCTTCGGCATCGAGTACCAGCGTTTTAACGTTGTAACGACATGTGATTCTTTCCATCTACCACACATCGAGTATATTTTACAGTCCTTGGCTGCTATTCTACTTTTGATCTTAAGTCGGACTACTGGTACGTAGAGGCTGAGCCCACAGACCATCAAAAGAGGGTATTTGTCCTGTTACAAGGTCTGTTTGGAGTCGAGGCCATGTTTTAGGACCCTGTAATGCAGCTATCACTTTACAATGACTGATGCAAGTCTCACTTGTTCATGTCTATCCGCACCAAGCATAATGCGGCAGTACTGTTATATTCGTACCGCCTTTTGCTATAAGAAGCAGAATCCAATGCAGAAGGGTTACAAGTTCATACAGCCTATAGACTAGACATGATTGCTCAAAAACATGTAGGACTTCTGAATGATTCAGGAAAGCAAGTATTAATCTAGGCAGTCCGCAATCGATGCGATAGTATCGCGAGGATGCCTTATGCCGTCCAAAAATATACTAAGGTAGTTTGGGCATGCTATCCGTCGTCGTAAAGCAGACGTCAAGGAGAAGGCCAAGTCTAGATTTGACTCGACATATTTCGTTCAGACATGAAGCGTTTCCTTGACCCTCTGTTTTCGATATCCGTCGCTGGAGGATAGAATAGACAGAGGTTTCAAGATCCGTGGCTGCTTAAGTTTACGCGTGGAGTGGTACCCTCCGCGACATCATCGAGGCCGGCTATATCACGCATCATCTCAGTCATTTCAAGTACAAGTAAGTGATAAGTTCAGTTTACCTAAATGCTACATACCTTAGCCTTGGGGTAAGCTTGCATTAGCTCCTTAAAGAAGACAGATCCGGGAAAATCCGTTGTTCCTTGATAGCCATGCAACAGGCGATCCCAGTACGCCGGATCAGTCTGCGAAACACCACGCTCCATGTCCTCAAGGCTTTCTACCCAAAATTGGAGATCCTGTGGCGTATGCAGCATCGAATCAAAGGTATGATAACAGGGTCCATCGTAGAGTTTCTCTAACGCAGCCTGTAGACTACGCGTACCAGTTCTCATCATGCCGGCGCCAATGAAAACCATGGACTCGGCGGCATTTCCATGTTGGTCCTGTTTGCTCATAGTCATGCACGTATAACCTGTCTAAAAGGAAGAAATGCTCGGTAAAATAAGCCATGTTAAATTTTTTAGGTTGCGTGCCCACAAGTCATTCTTTTTGAAGTAAGAAACTTTCGTTTGCCTCTGGCCTTTGAACTTTAAACGAAATAATGCGCAACCAATGTCCGAGCAACGTAAACTGTTTGCAAGTGTTTTTCACTACTGGAAAAGTATTGGACATACAACGAACTAAAATGTTTCCAGAAGAGGACCGATATGACCAAAATATGACCGTAAAATGAGAACTGTCGGAAGCAGTTTATTGTGCATAACACCGTGGAAATCAAATTCCATAATTCTGTAATACGCGACTGGTGATGATGGTTTTATGGCGTTCCAATCTCCTAGAACGCTGAGAACTACCACAGAATGAGAATTGTATTCTATGCTGATCTTGTAAGAAACACTAATAGAGGGTTGCTCACACCTCACTTGTGGGATTCGATCTTCCCATTATGCCTTGGGGCTCGCAATTCAACCCTACGTGCAGCCCCACTGCCGCTAGCATGATAGAAAGGAAAGGATTACCCGCAAATACGGGAGGTTGGAGTGGCACTTTCTGGCTTAGTATCCGCCATGTGCCAGCTATTTTGGACCCCAGGTGGGTAGGATTGTGACGTGGGGTCGTCTGGGAAAGTCTGCAGAGCGCGCCGCAGACATACGAACGAGTGATTTTAAGCGAGAGGACGGTCGGGGCATGCCAGGGAAGAAATTAGAACCCAATTTGAATGC